CAGCCACCCACCAGACTTCAGAGGAGCTCGCTCCCTGCTTCCCTGGAAGGCGGCTGTTCTCTGCGGGGCCTGGGGCCTCCTCACACCCCAAGTTTGGAAGGGTAGTTGGGGGCACTGAGCTAGTTCCCTTTGGACCTTGAACCAGGCTACTGAGACCCAAAAGCCAAAAGCCAGAGGTGGGAGGGCACAGATCCGGAGTGAAGGCTTGCTGTTGGTGGGGATGAGAACAGACCCCTCAGCTCCAGACCTCTCCCGCTTTGGAGACACGCACAGCAAATGATCGATGCAAGCGCCCGTGGCTTTCCTTAGACCGTGCACGGCCAGCCGGTCCCTCGTTCTAGCAGCTTCGTTAAGGTTTTTAAAATCCGTGAGCCTGGGCTGGCCCTGGTTCCACCCCAGAGCCCTAAAATGAGGAAGCTTAGGGTCTGGGGGTCAAAGAGAAAGGGTGTCTGGTCCGGGGAATGACCTACCGGGGAAGGGTGGGGATGCAGGAAAGGGGCGGGAATATCTGCCTCCAATCCCCGGCTGGGCTCAGGCTGAGGAAGGATGGAGCCAAAGGTTCCCCCTCTGAAAAGCAAGGGGCATATTCAGTGCTTCCCAAGATCCCCTCCAACTCTAAGTGACAGCAAGACTCCAGGGAAGGGTTGTGAGGTCTTTAGGGCAGAAGGTCCTGGAACTTGGCTTGAGCTGGGATTCAGGGCAGGAGAATGGGCAGGTGAGGCCACTGTCTCCCAGGCAAGCCCGTCACAGGGCCACAACTTCCGGAGAATTCCTGTCTCCCTCTCTCTCCAACCACCCCGCCCCCAGCACTTTCCCTTTAGAGTCTGTCTCCCTGGCCCCTCTTTTAGGAGATTTTTAGTACTTGCCGGCGGTGACTTGGTTAAATCGCCAAGAGCATACCTAGGAAGCGGGACGAAGGAAAAGAGACCACCTGCTTCCACACGTCAAGGACAGACCACGGAAGGAGACCCGGGGAGACCAGCAAAGCCAGGGTGGTCTTTATTGGGGTGTCCAGGTAGAGGAACACCCAGGAGCAGAGCTGAGCACTGAAAAGCACGAGGCAGGAGCCAGGGCTCCCTGGCGATGCAGGCCTCGGTCTCGGGGCCGGGAGGAAGGCAGCGGTGACGTGGGTGCTCACAAGGACTTCAGGAAGGCCCTGTATTTGGCCAGGAAAGGGACGGACAGAGTGTTCAGCTCTTGCCGCAGCTCCTCCAGGGCCCGGTCCTGCTCTTGCTGCTCTCCCGTCATCTGCTGCTTATAGTAGTTGATGTAGAAGTTCACCCAGTCGTCCACCATCGTCACCATGGCTTCCTCAGAGACAGGAGGGTCACTGAAGACCTGGGGGTGGGGTGGGGGTGGAGAGAACGGTCAGCGATGGAGTCAGGATCAGCCCTCAAACCCTGACATCCTCTTTTCTGGGATTTGCATTCCCTGTCTCTGGTGGTTTCCACCGACTCCGCCGCTACTCTCCCAGCTCCAAATTATTCTCCTGCCCTGCCCTCTCCCACCCCTCAGCACCCCGAGGCCTGTCCTTTGACATAATACTTGGGGGTACCTGCTGATTCAGTAGAGCATTAAATTCCTTCATGCCTATGGAAATGAGATCTTTATTAGCCTGAAGGAGCGCCATCTGCCTGTTTAGAGAGAGACATTGTAAGTACCCTTTTCCCTCACCCCTGGGTATTTCCCCCAAGCCCCTCGCTTCTCCCAGAGGTTCCTGGTGCCCTGCAGGGTCGCCTCTGCTCCCCTACCTTTCAAATCCTGCCCTGCTCTGAAGTCCCGTTTCTCCCGGGTTGGCTCACGTGAGGTCCAGCCGTGCTCTTATGTGTCAGCCACACTTTCAGGCTGCGTGTGTGCCGCTCTGCGCCAAGCGAGGTGCAGGCAAGGAGTCCAGTGTCAGCCTACGAGGGAAACGCCCCGCATCCAGGCCCTGAGGGAGGGCGATAGGTCAGCCCGGGGAGGGGAAGGAGGGCGAGGCTCCCCTGAAGTTAGAAAGATAGCAAGGCCACAGAAACAGATAAGGGAGACCCAGAAATCCACGCCAGGGCCAGGGCCAGGGCCAGGGCCTCGCCTGCTCAGAGGTGACCAGCATCCAGGCTCCGAATGCTAACAACACCAACATCCATGGCCGTCACCCTGTCACAGGGCAGGCCTTTCAGATCATCGCGGCAACGTGATGGGCGTTTTCTCCTGAGTCACAGATGATACCTGAACAGCAGCTCACGTTATATCTCTCCCTGAGGCCAGGCACTGTTTCCAGCATCTGCTAGAGCTTTGCCCTGATGTAGGCAGCTTTCAGTCACGTCACGGTGGGCAGGTGAGCCACTGGACTCCACCAGGCTGTGCTCTGTAAGAATGGAGACACAGTTGTCTTGTTGTCTGACATGTCACTAGGTGCTCAAAGTAGAAGTACGCTTTTCGTCTATTTAAATATTTTGCCGCTCTGCGCCAAGCGAGGTGCAGGCAAGGAGTCCAGTGTCAGCCTACGAGGGAAACGCCCCGCATCCAGGCCCTGAGGGAGGGCGATAGGTCAGCCCGGGGAGGGGAAGGAGGGCGAGGCTCCCCTGAAGTTAGAAAGATAGCAAGGCCACAGAAACAGATAAGGGAGACCCAGAAATCCACGCCAGGGCCAGGGCCAGGGCCAGGGCCTCGCCTGCCGCCCCCATCCCAGCATCCAGGCTCCGAATGCTAACAACACCAACATCCATGGCCGTCACCCTGTCACAGGGCAGGCCTTTCAGATCATCGCGGCAACGTGATGGGCGTTTTCTCCTGAGTCACAGATGATACCTGAACAGCAGCTCACGTTATATCTCTCCCTGAGGCCAGGCACTGTTTCCAGCATCTGCTAGAGCTTTGCCCTGATGTAGGCAGCTTTCAGTCACGTCACGGTGGGCAGGTGAGCCACTGGACTCCACCAGGCTGTGCTCTGTAAGAATGGAGACACAGTTGTCTTGTTGTCTGACATGTCACTAGGTGCTCAAAGTAGAAGTACGCTTTTCGTCTATTTAAATATTTTCCTCATGTTTTCCATTTTTACTAGCCGTTTTCAAATTTCCAGCCACCACATACTCCTTGAGATTAAGTGAAACATTACCCAAATGTACCCTGAAAAAGGTGATTATTTTTGCTCCCTCCCTCTACCAAGTAACCAGCATTAAAGACGCGTGTATTTCCTATGACGTCTTGCTGCCTTCAAAACCCAACGTTCATACTTCCTAGGACCTAGGTATTCATACTCTCAGAGACATTTGTCGATTTTCTTTTTTGTTTACAGCATTTTCTTAACATTCAGCAAAATTGACCTCTTTTTGGTGTGCAATTTATGAATTCTAATACATAGATTTATGTCACTGCTACCATAGAACATTTCCTTCACCCCCAAAAACTCCCTCATGCCACCCCTTTGTAGTCACCTCCAGGCCCATCCCTAATGCCTGCCAAGCACTGATGTGTGCTCCACCACGGCAGTTCTGTGTGTTTGAGGTCACCCTATGATGGAATTGCATGGTCTGTAACCTTTAAGCCCGGCTTCTTCCTCTCAGAACAATGCCTTCAAGATTCATCCAAGTCGTGGCAAGTAGCAGTAAGTTGTCCCTTTCCGCTGCGGAGGGTGTCGCCCGGACACACTGCAGTTCCCGTGCACCCGCTGACAGTGGACAGTGTGCAGCTGGGGCGAGCATGAGCGCGGCCGCTGTGAATATCTGTGTACAGATTGTTGTGCCGATACGTTTTCATTTATCGAGGGTGCAAACCATTGTTGCCACTAGGAGAAATAGCTGCAATACAACCTGACAAAGCTTTTTAGAGGAATCATTTGACGATACTTGTTCCAATTAAAATACGCATACCTTCCAACCCCATGATCCTGCCTGGCCTCTATTTTAAAGAAATGTTCATATTCAGCGCACAAAAAAGGCCTGCGCAAGGAATTCACCAGACAAGGAATTCGCCATCTGTGATCATGAAAAGACAGAATCAACCTGAAGGTCCTTTACTGTGGGGAATCTGAAGAAATGATGGCACATTCATACTAAGGCATGACATACAGCTATTAAACGAGGTAGATAACTATGTGCTGATATGAAAAGATCTCTAAGGCAATGTTAAATGAACTATACATAGTGCAGGCTGTCCCAGGCTCCAAGTATGGGAGTGGGAGTGGGATTAAATGTAAAACTCTCTCACTCTTTCTCTCTCTCTCTCTCTTCCTCTCTCCCTCATTCCCTCCTTCTTTCTCTCTCCCTCTCTCCCCCTCTCTCTCTCTGCCCCACCCCCGTGTGTGTGTGTGTGTGTGTGTGTGTGTGTGTGTGTGTGTGTAGAATTATAAACAATATCTACTTCTGGGGCTTGATGGGCATTTGTTGGGAAATGTAAAGAGGGATTAATGTCAGGGCGAATTTGACCTTATCCCTCTTCCCTCTATATTGCTGTTTGAATTATTTTACAGCATGAATGTATCCTATTATTTTTTGTAATTTTTAAAAAGAAAAAAATAGTGTAGTTCTGAAATCATTAGCCTCAGATTTAAATCATGCCTCCGTGCCTACAAGAGTCGCAGCTGCTCCCTAAATCTTTGTTGAATGAGTAAATGAATGAATGCGTTGCCATTTTCAGTTCTGTAACTTCAAGTCACTTCATATATGTAAGCCTCCGTTTTGTCTGTAAAGGAGGAATAAAATAATAACTGCCTTACAAAGGCTATTGGGGAAATAAATACTATTCCACCAATAGTATCGGGCAGCTACCTTTGTGCCAGGCGCTGGTGCCAGGCCCTGGGAACACCCCACTGCCAAACACAGTGCCCCTCCCCCTCTCAACGCCAGGCACACACTCCTGTCCCCTGGAGCTTATGTCCTGCTGGGGGAGTGCGAGGGTGAGAGGCCAAGTCTGAGAGGGGGCCAGAGCCCATCCACAGAGCCTCGTGGGCCACAACAAAAAGCTTGTGTTTTATTTCCAAGTGTGAAGAAAAGCCATTGAAAATAATGGCTCCGGCGGGAAGGGGAAGCGGTGGGGTAGGACCAGATGATTCCCATTTCACAGATGAAGAAACAGAAGGACAGAAGGAAATTTGCCCGAGATCTCACCGATATTAAGTGACCAGGGTTTCAAACGGAGGCCCTCTGATGGGATTCGTTCACAGAGCTGGGCCTCAGAGTTCCGTACACTCACAGGAGCTAAGTTTTAAAACATTACAGGTTTGTAACCCTTCAATTGTTCACCCCAAGGAGCAACCAAATTTTACAAAAGGAAAAACGAAGTCCCTGGGTCTCTCTGGGCCTCAGAGAGACTCTGTGTAGTTCTGAGAGAAGGTGAGGGGGTGGCAGGCTGGCCAGGATGAGGTCCAGGGGAAGACGATAGTTTGGGAGAATCAGAAGTTTTAAGCAGGGAGTCCATCTGGGAGCGGGAGGGTGTCCAAAAAGGCCAGCGCGGGGGCGGAACAAACTCTCCTGTATCCTCAACGTTCTCCTGCTGGTCTAATCACCAAATAGACAGGAAACAGGTTAGCAAGAGGAAATAACCAAATTTAATACATTTATAGGAGCGGAAACCCCACTTACATGAGCGG